TGATTTTTGGACGCCAAGTCATGCGCCCAAGTTGTGCTGTTCAAATTTTGACCTGTTAACATGAAAATTAAGCTGTTGCAGCCACAGATTAAGTGTGAAGAGTTGCTTTCTGTCCTGAAGCAGAAACCCAGAAGCCATTGACGCTACATGTTCAACCCTCTGGAAATCAAATCAAATCCAAATTATTCCAGGCAACTTTTGTTGACTGTAAACATTAATATTTAGCTCAATGTTTACTTGCTTCAAGAGACCACATTTAAATGATAAATAAAGCAGAATTGTCTTTCACAATTTTAAGTTACGATAGTTACCCCATACAGTTGGGTTAGGGTTAGGGTTAGTTTCATTTCATGTCAATCAGTGCTTCAGATAAACCACCATTAAAAATAGACTTAGACATGATGGTCTCAGTGACCTTGAACATTAAAAAAACTTTTAAATGAAGCATCGTTTTTTTCTGTCCAGCTGGATCTATAAAAATATTTAGAGTTGTGTACAGTTGTCTTTACTTCACATCTCTTCTCAAACATGAAGAAATTTCATATCTCATTGAAGGTCAAGAGGCTAAATATAGCTGAGAATCACACAGATCTACACACAGCTCAGCCAGCTTCTTGGGCTAAAATCCTTTTTTATGAATGCATATTCCTATATTTACTTTTACCAAGCAGTGTGTGATTTAAAATCAGGAAAAACGCATTAACAGGCGGTGTGCTTTTTCTGAGAATAGAATTGATTTGGTTTGGTCTAGCCTCATGGTGATTACTGACTGCAGGTCTTAGTTTACCCTGCTTCTTATTTACCGCTACATTAGTGGGAGACACCATGTACACCTCTACAGGCGCCTCGCAGAAACAACAAAGCAAGCCTTCAAATCAGTGTGAAATTACACAAGCTCTATACTTTTATATGAAAATGAATCTTGCCACAATGCTGTTGGAAATGTTACCTGTCACCTCCGTGTTTACCTTCTTGCATCGATGGAAGGTCCTTGAAAATATGAAATGTAAATCCACTTGCCTCGAATCAAACCTCACTGACTGTGTAGCAATACCATGTTTCTATGATGTGTTCAGAAGTCTTCTTTTGTGTATATTTTTGATGATTAAAAAAATGTATATTGTTTCTCCTAATAGATTAGCATCCTTATTTGGGCCTATCGATATCTGCTTCCTCAGTGAAAAGCTTTTTAAGTGTTCTTAAAATGTGCTCCTTCAGTTAAAATCATGCAGCCTCATTTTGAGTTGTTGCCATACAGTACACATTAGGACTACAACTGCTACCTTCTATGTCTAAACCCTTAGTTGACACATTGAAAGAGTAAAGTGTAAAGTGTCTTCCAGGTCTCTATTACTCCCATTGAAAGAAGCTATCTAGTCTTCCCACCGAACACTTGAGTTAAAACCATAACAACTCCAAGTCGTAAGTCTCCCTCATTGTTCAAATGAACAAACTCACCCTTATTTAAGTTTCACAATCAGACGAGACAAGGGCACAACATTCAAAGTTATTTACTGCAGCTTCTATGTCTGCAGGCTTCATGTTAGCTTCATCTAGTCCTCTTAAAAAATGGACTGTACATTTGAGGGTTTTTTTGGAATAAGATGAGACGACTGTGTGCAGAGTGGATGCAAAAGAAAATACATCAATGAACGTATGTCAGGGCAAGTGATGCTGATCATGATATTTTCCAAGTCGACTTTTAACCGCTTTTGGCAATTGTTTGGCTCTGATTTTGAACCCTGATTCCCTGGGGGAAACAGTTAGTCTGTTTAATTGCGAGCCTAGCATCTACTGACATACCCATAAACGCAGGTTGTGGAGAAACTCTGTGAAAATCATGTGCACTTCCTATTATCTTTCACAACCCACTAGTCCACCTGGGAGTTCTTTCTACTTCAACACTGAGAAACACCATACCATAAAAAAAGGATCTAAAACGAGAGCGAATACAACGATAAGGTGCTGTAGTCAGCCAGTCATAGTCTTCCTCTATCCCTGCTTACTCCCTCTCGCTTCCACCTCCTCCATTCCTAATTATCAGTCTCTCATTTTATCCCTCTGAAGCCTCCCTTACTCCAACCCACTCTGCTCAGAGTTTACCTTTTCCTTCCAAAAAACTCTTACCGCAACACATTTTAGAAGTGAAAACTCAACGGTAAGCAAGCAAGCAGTAAAAGTGTGTCCGCTGATGTGTGGGTGAAACAAAGTGCAAACAAACTGTCACATAAATCAACTTCCTCTTTGAGTTACCATTTATAAGAAAGTGTTGAAAGTGAAGTGAATTTTAATTCTGTCTCCCCAGGTTTCTAGTACTTTCTACTTCTTGGTACCATATGCTCAAAGCTCCGTCTTGGGCTCATTAACACACACACACACACACACACACACACACACACACACACACACACACACACACACACACACACACACACACACACACACACACACACACACACACACACACACACACACACACACACACACACACACACACAGTGCTATCAAAGCACAGGAACAGCTGGCGTGCTTAATATGGATGACTACTTTCCTGTCAACCAGTTTTACACAGAACACACGCATGCACATGCACCTGACACACACACACACACACACACACACACACACACACACACACACACACACACACTCATACATATGTTTATATAACACACAGACACTTAAACACACTTACACACACTTACACACTCAAGTCTGGTGGAACTTCTCCTGCATTAAAAAGCAAAGTGAGTGACATGTAGAGGGACAGCGGGTTGGAGTGTTGTAGTCAGAGAGAGTGATAAGGAGACCTGAAAAGAGTTTTTCATTAGATGACCGTCAGTGAGCGAAATATGTGCGTATTGACCATGATATGTCATTTAAATTAATGAGTATGATATTTTAAAATGACAGAGTTGTTGTTTCTTTTTTCTAACAGTCCCTGCTGTTACAACACAGATAATTTAGTGTCACTGTAAACCAATTACTTAATAACACCACCAATAGTAATAACAATGATAACTATAATTATGAGGAGAAGAAGAAGGAGAACTGTTTTTGTCTGTTTTGAGCAAACAATCATATTTCTGCATTCAATTTTAAGTGAAGCGAAAAAAATAAGGTATTAAAGGTGCACTTCAATTATAGGCATGATCAAATACAGGATCAGAGTGGATTTATAACAAGAAACTTCACACACATGTTTTGGGGAGCTCTGAGACTTGTTTAAACTGGTTGAGAAGGAGGATAATATGTGACCTTTACATGTTTTTGCTTGGGTCAACTCGTGGTTTATTAAACACTGTACCATGGTCTGGACTGGTTGAATACAAGACTGATTTACTGAAGGTTGTCAATAAGTGCCTGACACTCTGAAACCTATGAAGTACTTCTGATTAACTATCATTCAGTTTTAAATCAATGTGGCTACCTTTCAGTTTGTATCAACAAAGTCAAACCTCTGTTTAAAAAGCAGATTAGAGCTCAATGACAGTCTAACATCTCAGTACATCATGACTTCAAACATGACGCTGTAGTGTTAGTTCAGTCAGGAAGACTATATATTTGACTTGACGTTCGGGTGTATCTCTCATTCATCCCTCTCACGCACACTCACTTACATTTCTGCTGTCATTCATTGGGTAATCATCTGTCTCATCAGCGGTACTCATCTAACTAATTGCATGGCGTTCCTCCCTTATTGTCAGCCTATCATTGTTCTGCTCCCCTTTTTAAATATGATTCTCTCTCTGCCTTTAGTTCCTTCATTCTGATGTTTCGTGCGCCCCTCCACCTCCCCATCATCCCCCGTCTTTGCAGAATCATCATCAGAATCATCCATCAATTATTCACCCATCAGGTCTCAACAAGTCAGCAGCTTCACCATCACAACCACCACCAGTGTCTGGACTCCATGGGGGGGATTTATTTTGTTGCTGCTCAGAATTAACACTGTCCAAACACATCAACCACCCCATAGAGCCCAGGCGCCAAAGATCTTCTGTCAAGTTATCTGCCCAGTTATCTATTGCAATGAATAATTGTCTTCATTCACTTGTCTGTCCTGATTGAACTTTCTGTAATCTACTCTGGGGGGGTTGACATCTTTGGGGAGTGGAATACAGCTGAAGATTAACAAAGAAGATAATGAAGAGGGGGAATAATGTATTTTAACAACACTGAGTGCAGTACTTTAGTGACCCTGAACACCAAAAAATGCTGACTTCATTCAACATGCAAGAAGCCTACAGCCTTAAGGCCCTAACACACCAAGCAGACAGCGAAGAACTAGCAGTTACGAAGGCCGACTGTGGCGTCGCCTCATGATGCCTTTGTCTTGGCCAAAGAAGTTGCACTTGAACACACCACAAAGACTACAGCTGATGGCAATAACTCTTCATGCCAGCAAGTGGCGGTAGTCTGTCATTCCTAAAAGCGGACACTGTAAGAGGCCGAGGACAGAGAAAAATGGGGATATATAAATCGTTGTTATGACACAAGAAGACCGTTTTTACACCGCTGTCACTCAACACTCATACTTCCAATCGAGAATAATGTCTGATAAACAGTTGCCTCCTGACTGTAGTCGTTTACTTGCTTTGGTCACTTCTGTTTTTTTTTCTCGAGCACTGATTTACTTAGCTTGACAGCCAATCAGAGTGGCTCCTCTCACCAACCGACATGACGAATTGGCTGAAAAAATGTATAACCATTTATAAGTTGTACATTAGATTATTTCTACTGGAGCAGTGATCAACATTTCCATTGTATTGGAACCTTGTTCCATGGGAATTGGTTTTCTTTCAATTTATAAAGTATGATAAAAAAAACAACAACTTTCAATCCTCATAATGTCTTTGTCATAAATTCCTGACCCTAAATCTGACCTAATAAAAAATGACATGAAATAGTTTGTGTTGTGTTGTGAAATATTCTTTAGTGTTCTATCAATCACTAAACAGATTTATATGGATACAAAGTCGTAGTGTTTGTTCTCTTACCTCCCCTGTGTGGCTGAGACTCAGTTTTGGCAGTTTGTTCTTCACATTTCCAGAGTTCCCTCCATAAGTCTGACTGTTGTTAAATCCTTCTTTGGCCCCTAGAGAGGGTTTAAGCTGGGGAGAGTCACTAGGTGCCTGGTCCTGGCCATCCATTGGTCGAACATATGCTGTGGGCTTTTGCTGCACTGCGATGGGCTTCCCAGAAACACTACCAGGTGGAAAAGTAGGAGTAGTCAGTCCAGAAATGGGAGTTGTTAGACCAGGAGTCATAAGAACTGATGTGGATGCAAGCGGAGAGGAAGATGTCGAGAGTTGAGAGCCGGCCTCGATTTCAAAAGGAGAGGATTTAAAATGTCCTCCATTTTCAGAGTAAGTGGAAGACTTAAAATGGACACTATCTATCGTGACGGATCGGAAATTGCCACCATCTGTATAAGAGAAAGAGAGGAAGAAAACAAAACAAAAGGTCAAAATAACCCGAGTTACACATGTTATTATCCAATGTTGCTCTGCCCTGAGAAATCAAAATCTCTATCTAGGCTGAATGTCAAAATTGCTCCTCAGATTGATGGAGCCATTCACAACATATACTGTGTTACTTGATGGATCAGAAATCAGCTGAAAGGTGGTTCTCATCAGAGACCTACCACTCTAGAATGTCGTGCTTCTAGAATGAGGGTCTGCTTGTAGTACCTAAAAGTTCTTATAGTATGGGAGGTAGAGCCTTCAATTATCAGACCCCTCTTCTATATAATAGGAATAATTTACCGGTAAAGGTCTGGGAGACAGACACCCTCTACTTTAAATTGTAGGTTTAAAGATTTCCCTGTGATAACGTTTACAGTTCTGGAAGGATCAGGCTTGGACCAGACTTTAGTAATGCCTTTGCAAACTGAAATCCAGGAGACTTGAGACACCCAGTGCCTGTCTCTCCCTTTCTCTTTCTAAATGTATGCATTCATATCGTAGTAATGTATGTTCAACCTTTAATTCTTCCTAAGAGTTTTTGAGCTTCTTTGTATCAAGTGTTTAAATTGGATCATTGCTGAAGACTGCTTGACTCAAACTACTACAGCAGTTTTCATCTTAACTGATACTATCATTTCACCATTACGTTACTTAAAAAACTGGAACGTTGTATAATATGTAAATAAAAACAGACTGTGATGATTTGAAAATTTTTCGAAACCCCATATTTGATTGAAAATATCACAAAGACATCCTGTGAAATGTTAAAACAGAGAAAATTCATTGTTTTTCATGAACCAGATGCCCATTTTAAATCTGATACTGACAACATTTTTCAAAAGTTGGGGCAGTGGCTACAACAGAAAAACTGTAAAACTTGTGAAATGCTCAAAAAAGACACCTAATGGAACATCTCATAATTGAGTAGGATGATTGGTTATAAAAGAAAGAGCTTCCAAAAAGGCAGAGTCTTGCTAAAGATGGAGATGGGTTCACCACACTTTGAAAGGCTGTGCTGGCAAAGTGCAACACTTTAAGAGAGATGTTTTTGACCCCTAAATTGTGAAGAGTCTTCGCCTACAGTGCTTAATATGAAAAGATTCAGAAAATCTGAAGAATTCTGAGTATGAAGGGGAAAAGGCCAAAACCAATATTGGGTGGCCATGATCGTTTGGTCCTTAGATGCCCTTTCTTAAAGACATGATATTTAGTGGACTTTGTGAGCTGAGGAACACTTCTAAAAAAAGCCATTACCTGTAAACCCATGCTGCATTCACAAATGATGGCTGAAACTCTTCTAGGCAAAGAGGGAAATACCAGCACCTCTCTCTGGGTCCAAGCTAATTTAAAAAAAGACTGAGGCAAAGTGGAAAACTGTCCTGAGGTCTGACTGGTTAAAAAGTTAATATTTGATCTTCCATTTGGAGATCCTGGACGTCCTCTCCTCTGGGTTAAATAGGAGATGGACCATTTGACTTATTATCAGCGCACCGTTTTAAAATCCTGTATCCCTGAGGGTATGCATGTGTTCCTGTGCATTACCCATGGACATAGCATACCATACAGTATATCCATAACATGTCCAGGTGATAAACTGGCCTTCCAGCAGTCCCATCTTGTCACTTGTTGAAAATGTTTAGATCATTATGAAACTTAAGGTACAAAGGACACCATGAACTGTTGACCAGCTGAGATCCTAAACTTAAAAAGAATAGAAAAACATTCCACATTCCACATTACAGAAATTGGTCCCTTCAGCTCCCAAACACTCACAGAGTCTTGCTAAAAGAAAAAGTGATGCATCAGAGTGCTAAACATGATTTTCTGTACAGGACTTACCTGTGAGAGGAAGTGTTTTGGAGGGGTGGGAAAAGTGCCTTCTCTGAGAAGAAGAGGAGGAAGTGGAGGATGATGAAGAGCCAGAAGGACTAGAGTCTCCTTTAAGACCGAGTTCATCTTTAAGAGAGCTGAACAGCTCTTCATGCCTTTGATCTTCTAGCACGGACATTTTCCCTCTTCCACTTGTAGCTGCTGTGACCTGCCCCAGAAGAAGGCCTGCTCCTTGGGTAGTCTGCCCAAGGCCTGTCCTTGACCACTCCATGGAGCTGTGAGACTTTTTTAAATTCTGATGTGGGACTGTTGTGACACTTGATAATGTTGTGGTCAATGTAGGGGGTTGCATGGAAGTCAAAGATGAGGAAGACGCATTCCCTATCACTTTGTCTCCACCGTCCTCTGCTCCCCCCCCACCACCTGTTTGTCCTCTTAGTTCTTCAGTGAAAAGCTGGGACTCCAGGGCAGGTCTCTCTGTTGTTGAAGTGGTTGGAGTCTGGAGGTTGTTGGTGCTTTTTGGGATTCCAACCAAGTGGCTCTGGTTAGAATGGCTGGTTAACAGGTCCTTCATTTCTTCGTAGGAGCCCAGTGTGTTCTGGACACGGTTGGCCAACGCATCACCTTTATTTGTCTAAAAGGAGAGAAAAAGGGAGAAACAGACAGGGAGGGGTATAGAGAAAAGAGGATTCATTATTTTTCAGTTCATTCACACATTAATTAAAGACCTGTTAATTCATTAAGATGGTAAATGGTAAATAGACTTGAGCTTGTAGAGCGCTTTCTAGTGTTCTGACTACTCGAAGCGCTTTTACACCGCAGGTCACACCTACACCCACTAATGACAGACTGACCATCAGTATTCACTAATGTTATTCATACACATTCAAACGCCACCAACAATGCAGAGGGAGAAATTTGGGGTTAATTGGACATGTGGCTGCACATCCACCGCCGTCAAATTATAAGATTAGTTACTTTTAATGGTCACTTTACATAGAAACCTCTACCATCAGTGTGTGCATGTGTAGGTGTGACCTGTGGTGTAAAAGCACCTTGAGTAGTCATAAGACTAGAAAGATTTACCATTGAAAGAACAGAAATCTCCAATGTGATAAAAGTGTGTTAAATCAGACTATGATATTATTATTTCAAGCCTTACCTGCCAAGAGCAACGATATACTGTTATCATTGACTAAAAACATAGACGCTAACTCTAAAATCATTGAAAGAAAATCAAAGGTGAACAATTGATTATTGCTCTAGATTTAAGATGTCACATCCTTGTGTTCTGTGGCTCAGAAAAAAAAAACCCTACTCAAATCTTTCTGCCATGCTCTTCCTCACTTCACGTAGCCTGCGTTTTTTACACTTTCATAACATAGGAAAACATAAAAACACATTAAAAGGAAAAAAAGAGCAGAGATGCAAGACTTATGAGGATTCATAAAAGAAAGGTGAAAACTGATTTCAAATCATCTGAACAGATGCAATTTCTGTGTACACACACACACAACACACAACACACAAACTACACACGGTGGCAAGCCAAAGTTAGCGGTGAATAAATTAGCCCATCTCTTTTCCATCTCAAGCTCATGAATAAAAGATCTGGTGGCTGAAGAGGAACAGAAAACACTTTTATAGAGAGGTAAAATGGAAAACAGTAGAAGAGAGGATGAATACCTGTGTGTGTATCTGTGTGTGTGTGTGTGTGTGTGTGCCTGTGTGTGTGAATAGATCATCCAAAATAGCTGCTAACAGCATAACTCTCTTTAAGATTATAAGAGGGATGAGCTAATAGCTAACAGGGAGACTAGAGTGATGGACGGAGGATAGATACATGTACACAGGTAAAGGAGGAACTGACACTAGAAATAAGATATGAGCGAACGGGAATGTTAAAAGTTGTGTTATTCTGATGTGATCATCTCTAAATGAGCAGTCAAGTAAGTTCACTTAGAGAACTACAACGAGGATCTTTGTCCTGGGGTAAATCATGGTACGCAGAAAAGCAGCACATTGAGAGATTTTTTTTGTAAGGGTGGTAAATAATTCAACATAAGGAAGTATTAATTGCGCCAAAGGTGTTTGTCAGATTTAGCAGCAGTAAGCGAAATATTAGAGAAGTGAACTGGGGGGAAAGATTGGGAAAGAGCTCATAAGAAACAACATATTGGGCACTATTTCGACGGCATACAGTGAGCTGTCAAAAGCACTCTGCGCAGCTGGGGGCTAAGCGAGGCACAGCCGAGGCGAGGGTCAGCTCTCATTCCCTTTCAGAGCCAGGCGTACCTGCAGACGGGTGCGTTGTTTTTACAAAGCGGATTTCAGTCTACAATCTTGAAAAGGCCGAGCTCCGGCCAGCTTATTTCACGTCTTTCCTTTCACTGTGCCCCTGAACACACAGCACACACACACAGGACACAAATATGTTACACTGTACTTTGCTGAAGCATACCCACAACTTCATAAACAATCAAAAAGCGTTCCCACATGAGGCATAATTTACTTATTTTCTCTGCTGGAATCCTTGGCTTAATTTTCTAACAAGTGCATAATAGACCCTGGACAGCAGGACATCCTATATAACAATTATAATAAATTGAACTCTCTGTTGCATGAGAGTGTGTGAACGTATGTGCTCTTGTGTGTGTTTCTGTGTGTGTAAAGACAGAATGCTCACATCAGAGTGAGTGTACATGGAGGAGAGCTTGTGTTGGTCCCCCCCACCCCGAGCCCTCAGTCGCATTAAAAACACGATTTGATTGTATCAGTAAATGCACTGATGTAGTTAGTGGAGCAGTGAGCGGCTGTGTGGAATAAGCTCAGTGGAAGTGCGTTGTGAGCTCTCTGATGTATGATCATCTTTCTTACACGTCTTCTAAATATCAGGAACATGCTGCGCCAGACTTTAGACTTAAAGATCAGGTTTTAGGTGCTCTAAGACGCAGACAGTTTCTGCTTCCTCAGGATAGGAACGCGCCAGCTTTGAACCTGACTAGACTTTATTTTAAAACAAACACACCATGAGCACTAACGAGGGCACAAGTTAATTTGCTATTTAGACGACGTGAGCGCTGGGGATGGAAATGACAACTACGTCAGGTGAAAATAAGAAGAGACCTGCGCCTTGTGCAAAAATGCTGGGTATACGAGACAGGGGCCCGCTGTCCCCTTTATATGATACAGATGTGCTTTAAAGTCAGTCACTTATCACTGCTCCAGCAATCTGAATTATATTTCACTTTGATTCTTGTTCTGATGCAGACATATCATTCCATTGGACCGGGTACCAGATGAAATAGAGCACATGACAACAAATGTGAAAACAAACAACATAGACAAAAAAAGATTTTCTGCATTTCACTGTGAGTGCTGTGTGCACATCCAATGTAAACATAGTAAATGAGTAATTAACGTGTAAAAAGCAGCAAATGGCATGGCTATTTTGAAGTAGTTGTAGTAGTAGTAGTTATGGAGTATAAATGATGGTATACATATAATTACAGTTTGTAATATAAATATGAAGTAGAAACAGTGTCATATGTTGAAATGGTTTGGGGTAGAGGTAGAACAACAGAATAAATGGGTGAATAAATAAGTAGGTAGAAGGCACAGTGTTGAAGACAGACTGGTTCAAAGTGTCTGTTCTGAAGATGCAGCAGTGAAAATGGTCCAGAAATAAAGAATCTGAATGTGCATGTATGATGGTAAAAATAGACTGTAACGATCAGAGTGTGCATCCTCAGGTTTTTTTGTCAAACTGATTGTGAATAAACCGAAGACTGTAAATATTAATGGACGTCAGCCATCGGCCAAAAATGGCAGTGTGTGCCCATGAGGACAATAACTAATCAGACCTATTACATTTTTTGTACCAGCCTGTAAACGTGTATTTATACTGTCACAACAGGCATATTTGAATGTGGTGTGTATGTGACTTCCGGGGCTCTTGGAGCCAGCCAGCCTAAAGCGGACCATCAATGAACTGCAGGATTTTGCACTTCTGCATTGGCTGCATTTGTCAACACCAGAGGTTGCCGCTAGGAATAAAAACACATAAAATCTGCTCAAAAATCCTGGAAAAAAGATAATTCCAGAAATAATTTATTCACTATTTTGTTATCCTTCTGAGTAAATGGTAAATGTTCTTGATCATGTATATATAGCTTTTCTAGTCTTCAGACTACTCAAATCTCTTGTTTATTGCAGGTCACACCTATACATTCACACACTGATGGCACATGGCAGAGGCTGCTATTTAAAGTGTCCATCAGTACTGACTAATACATTCATACACATTCACATGCCACCATCGTAATATAATCATTAGCACTAACTTTATAAGGTTCTCCAAACAGGTTGAATCCAGTTGCGAATAGGTCTTCATCCTGTTGGACCTCTTGGTTCCTCCTCTCCCACTCTTTCCTCTTGAGGGCACTGCGTTCTGGTTCCAGATGACTGCAAAGGACATCAAGAGAAAAAGCTTGTTAGCATACCTCACTGAGGATGGCCCACAGTGACATGTACCACTATCTAATGAGCACAGCTAACAAGTCTTTTCTGGATCTGAAAAGAGAAGAAATTACTTTCGTGCAGTTTGAGTAAAGTCGACTGGTGGCTTTCTGGGAAAAAGACAGGGTAAATGATGTCATTGCAATCAGAAACAGTTGACCAGGAAATCCTTGTTATGATTCTGCGTCAGTATTAGTTAAAGGGCAAACTGCATTTTATTATAAGTGGCGGGTTAGACGTAAACCTCCTCTACTATGGTCGACTTTAGTCTTAAATGTGACACACTAACACTGTCCAGCCCTCTGAGACGCTGAAATGCTTACTGAAAGTTACTCTTCCTATTGGCAGTAATATGTATGTGCACATTATCATGTGCAGTAATGCACAGACATGCAAATATCCATGAAAGCATAGTTGTGAATGTGTTGCCTGTTCATCAATGTAAAAGCTCATATGGGATAAACATGCTGTCTCAGTGCATTGGATCTGTAATGCACCACATGTGTATGTCTGTTTTGTGTTTGTAACGTTAATTAACTTAGCTAAGGGGTAGAATGGTTTTCAAATGATGCAGCTTTGTATTTCACAGCCTGCTGCACTCAGACTTTTAAAGGAACTGTCTTAGTTAAAGGGAGCCCAGGCTTATCTGACTGCTTGTTTTAAACACATAGGAGTTGTAGCAATATAAAACATATTTCATGGAGATGCATGTGAATTTGTTGTGCTTTTAAATAAACGGTCAGGCCCCGTGTCCACCTAGCGTTTTTTTTTCTGAGCGCCAGCGTCTTTTTTCCATTTTTTTTCTATGATAGAGAGCAATTGCAGCAGCAGGGGGTCGCCGTATAAAAAAAAGGCGCAGCAATTAGTGTTTTTTTTCCTGAGCGCTCCGCCTTTTTTGTACGGTCGCTCCGAGTGCTCAAGTTGAAAAACCTTCAACTTTTCAGAAAGGCAATATTTTTATTAGTAGATTTCAAATATACAATATTCCTTGTACTTTTGCCGCCGATGGATCGTGTCTTGTATCCAAATCCTCCTCACACTCCGTGCCTGCTGGAGTAAAAACAATCTCAAGACGCAACGGAGCAGTGTCGGTCATACAGTGGTTGTTGTCGACAGACTGTTGTCATAGAGACAAGACGGACATGCAGTTCTTTTCTTCCACAACACTTCATAAAACAGCTCTCGAGCACATAGCCAGCATTTCTCTGCCTGGAAAAAACACTAGGTGAAAACAGAGCCTCACAGTCATGGAGTAGAAACATTATATTATGATGACGGATTATTAAAAAAATAATCTGATGACTAAAAACTGTATTTCGATCCTAATCAAAAGTTTGTTTTTAACCCTTGTACCCCTAATGGCGTGAGTGAGATTTAAATAGATTTTGGGGGAAAACATTGTCCTAATACAAGGTTAGATTTAACACATTTTATGACTGTTTAGGACGGAGCCAGACCCATAAAGGTACCTTTGCTTGGCCTTTAGTCTAGAAGAGTCTATCCAGCCTGGCTTTCTACAGTCTCTACAAGTTTGTCTGAATGCAACATCGTTTTGTATCTTAAATGGAATGGTTAGTGGAAATAATTGGGTTTAAAAAGCCTCCTTACTGGCCAACAAGTAAAATGTGCATGTGATCTTTGCACCAAAAAAAGTGACGGCAGAGGCATCGATGTGCAGAGCTAAGCCATTCATGTCCTGGTATCAAATGTCTCATAATAAAGAACAAACGTAAAGATACGGCTCAACAAAACACTGTAGCAAGATAAAACAAACCTTCAACCTGTTTTATATTTCCAACATGGACAAATTATTCAATAATTATATGAACTTTACTCTTTATTCCGGAGTGCATTCATTTGTATCTTATGTGGTAAGTAAGAGAGAGTGGTGTTTCTGGAACGGGTACAGGAGTGAAATCTTGAGATTTCCATACATTGTGAAATCCCCTTTTACTGCACAGTCACTGAATCACCTTGTACTCTTCAACTTTTTCACTCACCTGCTTTCACTGACAAATCTACACTCTCATCCTAAAGAAGTAATGTCATTGCAAAAAATGCAAAAGTGTGTTTGAGTACAAGTTGTGCATGAGTATGTGGCCTGTAGACCTTAAGAGCATCTTGCTGTACCACAGTCACTGCTGAGATGCATAGAGCAGACCGGCTGATTAGCGTTAACACAATTAATAAACTTCCTCTTTTTCTCCTCCAGACCTCACCTTTACTATTTAATCTGACAGCAGAGTGTGAGTGGGAGGCAGAGCAGAGAAGCAATGAGAGGAAAGGGAGAGGAGAAAAAAAAATATTGAGACCCATGGGAGTGAAAAAAAAAAGCCCCACTTTCACAGCAACAGATAGTTTCTTAAAAAAGAAAGACGAATAATGGAATGATGAAAGACAGGGTGAAGGGATGGGGAGCTGAAGGTAGGATATGGAGGAGCAAAAAGCAAGAGACAGCAGAGTGGGAATACCAGAAAAAATGATTGACATGTAGGGTGTTTCTGTGTTTGTGCGTCCGTAAGTTTGTGTGTGTGTGTGTGTGTGTGTGTGTGTGTGTGTGTGTGTGTGTGTCTGTGTGTCTGTGTGTCGTGTGTTACAAAAGTAAACATAGATGTGATCACTGGGTGCACTGGGACTGCTGGTTGACATGTGCATGTCAGTACAGAGATATCACTGACAGAGCTGTCACAAAGACACAGTTAACCCACAAATACACACAATGCTGTGGTCCAATGCCACAGATCACTTTCTCTGTCTCCTGCTGTTCTACATGCTCACATGGAGGCGGATGTGGTCAGACTAGATCATTAACACCTTAAGGATTTATTGACCAATGTGCAACTGGAACAGATTACAACAGGATCTATCACACACTTATCTTGTCTTTTTCCTCAAGTCTTTGTTATTACAGTGACGTGTCTTTTACATCACACATGTTTTTTAAACCCAAGCATTGTGTTTGGCCAGGTCAGTGAACACAGCTATTAATGCTATTTACTTTGGGGTTCAGTTCAAATGAAGCCCAAGGACACTACCACATGTAGACTACACGATCCTGAGATCAGCCTATCTACTGATTAAAAGACATCAGCTCCATCTCTGAGTCCCAAATGCCCCATGTACTAAACTGTAGACAAATCCACAAGGCCAGTTTGTCCTGAATTGTTATTTAACTAAAATGCTAAATGAGTACTTAAAGTAAAAAAGGCCACACATTTGTTAATATGACATTTTAGATGGAATATTTTAGGTGCCCAAAGACAGTTTGTCTGCATTGTAGAAAAAGTAGATACAGAATAACACACTGTTGATGATGGAAGAAGAAGCTAGATGGACAGATGGACGGACAGATGGATGGACTGGTGGTGATTTATAGCAGTGTTTATATCAGCAGTGGGCATTCTGTCAATGTTGATATTTTCTGTGAATGGAAGTATAGTGTTTGCAGTTTTTTTTACCATGCTGCTCTCCTTCAGACTGAATGTGTGTGTGTGTGTGTGTGTGTGTGTGTGTGTGTGTGTGTGTGTGTGTGTGTGTGTGTGTGTGTGTGTGTGTGCGTGTGTCCTGGAGTAATGCTGATAGCCAAAGTAAGCGTTGGGGATTTAATCTCAGCAGAGCTTTGCTGTGCTCCCCAGATAACTCAATGCACACACTCCAACGTCTCTCACACAACTTCATCAACCTCTCTAACATTTTCTCCCATTAGCCAACGCTACACAGGTGCCAAGCACTGAACCTGAGACTCAGCAGGTTGTGCAGCAGCCCAGTGCAGATATACAGGTTCTTTTCTTAAGCCGTTTTCACACATGCACTCCTGAAACTATCGAGATAATATCAGGAGGACTGCTCCAGAGATTCTCCTGACCTTGCTGTTCACATATGAACCTCAACGCTGGAGACTATCCCTGTTTGACAGGAGGAGGGGGGTGGGGGGGTCTCCTGAGGTAAGAGCTGGCGTAAATAAACAACACGGATGTAGCGGACGAAGCAACAGAGTCCGCTATATGATGCTATAATGAGACTATTTGCCTTTATATCAATGCAAAGTCCAACAGACTACACATAGCATTGACTTTTTCATGATATTTCTGCAAGTGTGCAAGCCCTATTAATGAATGGTGGGTATCATGGGGGGGATTTGGACTAACACAGCTTCAAATTGCCATGGCAGTCTATTCAAATGTGTATGCTGGACTTTTTCACTCAAACATACCTCCCTTAAATAATTCAAATATTCTACATTCAATATGAATAAAAACAGTGTTGTTTCCAAGGCACCCCTTTCTGCCAGATGTTTATGCTTGTCTGTCAGTTGGCTTGATCATGTTGAAGTAGCCATGTTATGTTGTCAGAAGTAAAGGCGTCTTCAGTATGTGTAAGTTAACACAAGATGTGTGGAGAGCTGCTTCATTGAAAATCAACTGGAGCCAGTCTTCATGGACTCGTACACCATTTGTGTCTATTGGGAATAACTGCCAGAACAGTTCAAGGCAAAGGCTTGGAAATGTGTTTTAACTCATGAAGCAATCAGGACATTTGTAGGCAGGGGTTTGCCCAGATTTTATTCATTTCACTTACGTCTTTTACTCTCAAAATGAAGCAAAGATAATTACCTAAAAGCTCAAGCTGTGCAGATTTTGAATTGTCTGTATTTCATTTATGTGGGACATCCAGGATTGTAAAGACGGAATAAACTTGCAAATGCATTTTCTGTGTGTGTGTGTGTGTGTGTGTGTGTGTGTGTGTGTGTGTGTGTGTGTGTGTGTGTGTGTGTGTGTGTGTGTGTGTGTGTGTGTGTGTGTGTGTGTCAGTGTTGTTTTTATCTGGAGTGTTTTGGATGACGGGGAGAAGTGAGGGGGATAATGAGAGAGGAGGAGAGGGTGAAGGAGAGAGGAATAGCTGTCAGGCAGCAGACAAAAGCTTTGTTTGAAGTGTCAGTTCAATGA